CTCCCAGCCCAAGCTCCCATGCCCTACATAAGCCTCTCGCGAGGCATCCACGTAGAACATCAGTATTTCGATGTCGCAATCGAGCCTGTTTCCAATCAGAATGCTGCAGCCACGGTCCAGTGTTCCTGGCAGGAGACATCAACTCTGCCAAGCCGCACGCTCTCACACCGCCAAACGTGCGCAGGTCGACGAAACTTCTTCAGCTGCCTTAACTTCGTCAGCGAGGTGGACCTTTGCAGAGGACGGCGGACGGAAATTGATGGCTTCTTTCTGCAATCAGCACAGCATGGAACGCAGGCAGCAGCCAAAGAAGACTAGCGAAAAGAGCTTCATACAAGCATAAACTAAGGCTGAAGCAACAAGCAACACAACGATGATGCAAAAACATGAAGGAAATTTTGGAAATAGATGTGAATAACGGCTCCACACAGACCCCAGCCAACTAATTTATCCGATGCCACATCATAACTTGTAGCACTTGCAGCCTGAGGGTTCAGGGTCGGCTCCATTGACAGAACTGCACTCAGCTAGTGCTCAGGTTTCAATGCAGCAAGCCTCTAGGCTAGTCTAGGAATCCAGGGCTGGCGGTCTCGATGGGGTTTGCGTAAATGATCCCGCTCCCCTCATCTTGCATAAAACGCATGCCCCTGCAGCCTGCTTTTATGAATAGCGTGTCTGTTTCCTTGGTGCATGGAGTCGGTTGGCAGCTCTCCTGCATTCGCTGGAAGAGGTTTGTGCTCCGAAACCCCATGAAAGCGAAACACGGCGGCCACCCTCAACCTTGACTCATTGGGCACACACTCTCTCCAGGCATTCCGGCGGAAGCCGAGAGACTTCAGCCACGGCACGCTGAGGCCACAAAGCCACGGCAGCCTGGGCACATGGAGCACAAATCAAAAATTGAGGGTTTGGGTCATGAGCCACGCCACTAGCACTAGTACTAGTACTACTAGTACCACCCCCCGGTCATCCTCATCATCATCATCATTTTCGGATAATATAATCCCCGGGAAGTACCGAGTACCAAACGAACCCTTCAACCCCCTGCTGCCGGATCCGGACCCCTACTTGCGTTAGCACCACTTGTTGCGGCTTCGGGCGGAGCTCACCGACTGTATACTTACAACGACCACATCACATCACACTGCAGCCAGCAAGGGTACTGCATGGTACCGTACCGCACTGGCCGTCTGAGCTGCCCCTCCCCGGACTGATCCCAAAAGCACTCGCTTCAGAGTTCCCCTGTTGACGAGGCTCCGTGCCTATTGCAGCTTGTCACTCGCACCCTAGACCACACCCCAAGCACCTGTAACACAACTGCAGCAACCTTAGCACATGATGCACAAAGGCCCTGCAGGGAAGGTCGAAACAGGGCATGAGTATGTGGCTGCCCATTATGTGCTCGCATGCATCCTGCACTAGCTATATAGACAGGTTGGTGGCACGACGGAAACCACCAGCTGCGGCCAGAAATGAAATCGTGCAGAAGGATAGTTGGTCTCGGAAATAAGAATAGTACTAACAGCACTGAAAGGCATAAAATGAAAGTAGGGATGACTAGTTGCAGTGCAGATTCTGGACTTCGAATTTGATGATCGGCCAATAGGGGTAGCACACTAGAAAGCTTCGGAAGGACAGCCGAAAGGCCTTCTGGAGGCAGTACAGGCGACGGTTATCCAGCGTGAACCAGCGGTCCTGCTTCTAGCCGGCAGAAGGGCTGCACTTGTTAGATCCTGCTAGAAGCTTCGGGCGCATTGGATGCTTCTAATGAAGCCATTGTGTACCTCAGGGTTCCACCTCAGGCTTCATCTGCATGATTGCGAAGTGCTCTACATGAACATATTCGAATCCTTGAGAATGTTTCAGATTGCCGATTGCGGCTGCAAACAACTTGCATGATGCACTTTTTGGGGAGGGCCCGAAGTTTATGGTAGGAGTTCCTGGATTTTGGCACGTTGGGACACCGTGGAGAGCCAGAAGTTCACGCGCACATCACATGTTGTGTGAGATGAATACACCCGAGAGTTCGACCCGTCTCTCAACATCACTATGCCAAGAACCTCTGCATCGATGAGTTCACCGCCTGTCTCCGCATCAATCAAGGGCTTGCCTGGCCAGTGTCGCAGAAGCCGATAGGCGGCGCTGCAGCAGTATCGAACTGATGCGAACAATCAGTCAAGAAGCATGCGTTTAAAACACATCCCGATGAACCTGTCTCGTCTCGTAGCTTGCATCGCCACTTCAATACCTCCGAGCCGCAAAGAAACCAAAATGGGGATTGAAATGTCCCAGAAACGGGGCCTCAATCGGAGGGAATGGTGCCTTCAGCAGCCACACCTGCGATTTTTGCAATATCCAAAATTTCCAAATTCAGCTTCGTCCGCTTCTAGCGGGTGGAAAAACCCAGGAACATGTGAAAATCTTGCGGCAGCATCGAAATCGCAACAACTCAATGATGCCAAATCCACACCATTCTTTGTTCGACAATGCCCCTGGCAAAACATAATGTTTCATCCACTGCTCATCACGAAACCTGTCCATTGACGATTGTCTTACCATGCTAGGAAGAAAAGTTGGCTTTCGAAAACTGGTAAACGCCGACTCGCGCATGCTTGAACAGCCGGCACATCTCAGGCTGCAGCTGGTGTGTCATCGAGATCGGAAGTGCCCTGCAACTGCGCACCATCGTGACCATGTCACCGCCGCTCAAACTCAGACGTGGAAACAGTGTTTTTCGATAACAAATAGTAAGGACCGGATTTCATTCTATCAATGACCAGATGTGCTCATGATCGCTCCGGCGAATGCTGTGGAATGTTGCAACCGTGGCATCAATCCGTGCCTCAAAAGGAACGTGTTTGATCTGCTCGATGGCCTGCTCAAAGCAGGAATCAGGAAGCTTGAGACAGAAACGCAACTGCAACTTTACTCCTCCCAAGCACATCTTAGGCACCCACTTCGACCAAGGACCGCCCGTCCCGGAAATGTGGGTTCGCTCGCATCTGCGAGAAGTGCACCTGTGGGTTAAGATTTAGGTAGATCGGCTTATCAGTGCCCATATACACATGCAGGTTGCGAGCTGCTGCAATTTTGCTCAACTCACCTGGCTATGTTGAAAACGCGTTCCAGCCAAAACCCGACAACCAACACCACCAACTCACGCGCGACAACAGGTTGCAACCGTGCTAAGTGAGCATCAAGCCTCCAACGGTGCTAGTTGTGCATCAGCTACCGGAACGCGTTGACGCCTCACCGACATCTATCATGCCAAACAGACAGTTCGGTCACCGACGACGTATCGGCTCAAGATCGAGCTGCATGATTGATTCAGTCAATTTGAAACAGCAGCTGTTTCAAAGAACGTCGCGAATGCGCAAAGGCTTGTCTCACATGTCTTGCGAGGCCTTTCTTCCCGCTCTGCATCTTCGGCCCCCGAGTCCGCCTTCAACAACGAAAATATGGCCACATGCGCATGCACTCACACCTGCGTGTGCTGAAAACAAGCATGCGCAGCTTTCTTTTTCTGAACTTCGCCCGCCGCTCGGGCGTTGTTGGGCTGGCAGCCCCAGGCCTATCACATCCACGCGGGTGGGTGACACTTGCATGCTCGCAACATCTCCGAGACACCGTGCGCCTAGGCCGCCTCGACGACACACAAGGCTGCCGCGGACCTCAGACACAACGTATTTTTCTGCTCAAGTGAACTGAATGGTAACTGAATAAAAGCTTCTTCCCGGGACGAGCACTGGCCGGGTGAAAAAATGACGACGAAGCTGCCGACACAGCGATAGCAACCTTGGCCATGCCGGCAAACATGCTTTGAATATGGGTGCCGCAGAAACCGACGTCTTGCAGCTGGGCTTGCTGATGCTACCGCTATCAGGAGGCGGCCGGCCTCGTGAAGCATATGACATATGACATTCCTCATGCTGTTTCTGTGCAGGGTGCCCCAAAAGTATCACCGAGCCTTGTGGCAGCCTGGCCAGCTCGGCGCGCAGCCGGGCCAGCTCCAGCCGCAGCCTCGCAAACACGAAATCCATGGCTTGCGCCATGCCTACATGCAGTGGCCTCTCGGCGCGGGGTGGAGGATGCCAGGACGCCGTGCGTCCCGATACTGTCCACGTTATGTCCTGCTGCGAACTCATGAGTGCAGTAATTGATTGCACTGCCCTCGGAAACACCAACAGAGCCAATGCCTCCAGTTGGAACATACCTTTGTCATGCTGAAAAGCCCACATGCACAAATCGGCTTTTCTTGAAGGTTTTCACCTTTTAACAATAAACAAGATGCCGGCTTCAAAGCGTCCAAGCACTCGAGCAGTATTCCTCAGTTTGCGTGTATGACACAATCTGTCAATCTGTCAGCTGTTTTAGAAGTCAAGGCCAACAGCTTAACTTGCAACCCTATACTCTCCACCGCGGCTCGAAATTGGTGAGTCAAACGACCTCCGGGTCGTAGCACACGCGCATGAGGCGAATGGACGGCAGGAGGATTGCAGGGTTCTTGAAGCTTTCTGTTTGTATTAGCAGACGGGTCTCAGAACAAGCAAACTCGGATTGTTCTGTTGCTCCAGCAAGGGCTGCATTAGCAGTGTAAGCAAGTTCGGCTTCAAGCCTCATGGCGACGGTCGTGCACTTATGCCCGCCATGCACGACACCGCATACCGATCATCTTTGCCTGAAAACTGCAAGAACCCCTCGTCGCCTCGCTGGCGGACGGGGCCACATCGTCCATGACATGGATGCGGAGGCCAGCCGGGGCGCAAGACAATAACTCAGTCTGCAAAAGCTCGGCGTGGGAATCCACATCGGTGAATACTGCAAGAATGGGGATCACATCTGTCCAATGTGCAAAGGTTGGCTGTCAAAAGTTTCAACATCCTGCAAGTTCAATGTGATGTTGCTGCTCTACTTTGGAACCTGCTGCTTCATTCATGAGGCCGTGCTTCATGACATCTGGATCCGTGCAAGGCCCCGTCAACAGATGCACGGATCTTTTTTCACTTCTTCTCCTTCTTCTTGGCTGTCCTGCTGGCCTCTTGCTCCTTGACCTGCACACAGTGACAGGGAATACAAACACGCTTTAGGTTTATTTTGTGTCAAGTCTGCCGCCCACCTTCTCTTGCAGTTTGTTCGCGAGTGCGCCTTCTCAAAGTGCCGAGCCAAGCCCAAGGGCAAAAGTACAGACCTACGGCCTAGTTTCCAAGAAGGCTGTCTATCTCAGACTAGTTTCAGAACTTTGGCCAGGGAGACGGAAGCATGTTGCGAGGATTCCAAGCAAGCTCAATAGAATGTCCATTGGGCTGGGTCCATTGGGCTGGGTTGTGCGCATCGCGACGCGAATAGGCTAGCATGGGGTATCTGAAGAAGGAACAGCGGCCACCTCGTCCATCCTTGCCAGCTGACCGGTTCACCAACCCGCTGCCGCGCGAACCCGCCTCGGCGCTCAAGACACGAGGGGGGCAGTTTCGTGACGTTGTGGTTTGCCGCATGAAGGGCCTCGCGGCTTGGTGCTTCAAGGTGCCACTGCTTGAGGCGACTAGCTGTCCCCGAGCCCTCGAACGTGCCGGGTGGGCACTGCATGAAGTCAAAGCAGGTCCAAAGTCATCCGGATCTTCATAGTATTAGAAAGGTTGATCATGGTAGCGAATCTCTGACAGATGCTCAAACTTCTCAAAGAGAGCCAGGCGTCGGCGCAGGCCTCCTTCCACTTCTTCTGCTCCATGCGCTGTGCCTGATCTCCGCAGCCATGCACCTCCGCCTGGCAGATTCTTTGCACTCTTTGCATGCCAAGCATGGCTCTGAAAGAGACAATTGGACCACACCTGGGCATGCTTGAGGCAGAAGCGGCTGCTGCAGAACTTGCACTTGGAGAGCCTCACATGGGCCGGCCGACTTGCCGACTTTGCCCGTGGAAGGGGTATGAGCTCACGACGTGTCCATCAGGGTGTTCGTCTTCTCCTCGCAGATTCAGAGCAAACATGTTCATCAGAATGAACTTTGACCAGCTGCTGCTAAACTTGTGATCCGTGGTCCTTGCAGTTGGCGAAGCTGCAAATGCCCTCCTCAGCTAGCACAGAGATCGTTCGCCAAACGGGCAAGGCCCTCGGCCCATCCGTCACTTCGAACCCAGGCTTGATTGACATGCGGAGGAAACGGAATTCTACCGCGAACGCGGGCCTCCTTTGTGAATTCCGACAATAGCGCGTCTAAATCGTCGTCATCAGTTGTGGCAGCCGGCTTTTTTGCAGCCTTTTCCTTCTTTGCTGCCTGCGACAGTGGACGATGGTATAAGCCACGGTATGCAAATCCAACATGCAACTTCACCTTTCAGGGTCGCCTGCTTAGCCACTTTGATGTCCTCAGTGAACCAGGACATGCACCCAGATGCAGGCACCCCCGGAATTGAGTGTGGATGGCATGTAATGCAAGGCCTCACAAGCACATGCGACTGAAGGCGTTGCTGAACGCAGGAAATTGCCCGCAGAGACCGATATGTGCCGGAACAGCAATCTGGCTTTCTGCAGCTTGGGGAATGGATCTCTTCCAAGGATCGGCATTGCTCTTCTCGATGTCCTTCTTCCGCTGTTCGGCCATGGCCAACTGGCGCTGTCTCCTCGAGTCGATGCAAGTTCTCATGCAGGTTGAAGTTTGCAGCCGAAGAGAGCGCAGCACATCACAGGACAGAGCTCATTTCATCACAACCCCGAAAACCCCATCCGCCGGGAAAGGCTCGAACCGAAACTCAGCCGGGCCTTTCTTCGTGGAGGCTCGCCAACTGCGCATTGCCAGAGGGCGGCTCGGGCTTTCCCGCCTGTCCGGCCTGTCTCATACAGCAGCGTGTTCTGGCTTTGGGCGTTTTGGGGAACATTTGGGTCATTTAAGGCGGGTGGCTGTCTGTCTGTCTCTCTGTGTGTGTGTGTGTGTGTGTGTGTGTGTGGGTGGTTGTGTGGTTGTGTGGTTGTGT